ATCGGACACGATCGTACAGACTCCTTATGGTGTCTTTAGCTCCAGTAACCGCTCTGAAATGTCTTCGGCTTTGACTTCCACCTTGCATAATCATGCACAGTTAAGTGGAGTCACGAGAGGTAAAAAAAAAAAAAAAAAAAAGGCCTCTGTTTTATGAAGCCTTGAAGGCTTGGCTTAGAAATCATTAGCATTCTTTGTGGACTTAGTCCTTTTTTTCACCACGTACAGTACTCTGCTGGGAGTCAGGTGCTTTTCACTACAGTCCAGGCTTCAGGCAGAGAGGGAGGATGGCTGAGCCCTTCATCTCCAGCTGTGTCCTATATAGTCTGTAACATAAGTGGAGGTTAATATTTCCCCCTAAATGACCTTTATTCAAGCGGATTACTTTCTGGAAACGCCATATTTCTACTAAAGCACTTTAGTCATAATGTGTTTTTGTTTTTTAGTTTTGGTTATTTCAGATTAGATTCCTGCCTCAATTGTGGAAAAAGTGTCCTGTCAGGCAAAAGTGGCAAACTTGTTTAATGTTATATAAGAATAAATGCAATTTCAAATCTTTTCAAGGGATTATTAGGACTGGAATTAGAAGTGTGATCTAGGGGAGTACCAGAAGGGTGACCTGGGGTGACACCAGCCCTCTGTTATCATTTCAGTGCAACGATGTCAAAATAATGGGATGAAGTATAAAAAAAAAAACCCAGAACAATTAAAAAAATAAATAAAAATACTGCTCATCATTACAAGGCTGCAGTGTTGCACCCTGCGGCTCAGGAGAAAGTTTGTCGCCTACCAGTTGGAAGGTTGGTGGTTCGATCCACAGCTGAATTGGGCAAAGTACTGAACTGAAAGTGCATCTGTTGGAGTACGAGTGGATGTTGGATAAAGTGCTTCGGTACTGAAAGTACTGCTTGTATGACTCTGTGAATGAGGCTTGTAGCAGAAACGCATAAGTACCCGTCCATTGTGATAATGCACGATAAAATCGTATCCACTGGAAGGTAATACAAGATGAGTTAGTGGGACTTCAACTCACTAACTGGTTAGAATGGTCCGTAAATTCCAGAACATGCAGCGTAAAAGACAAGATGAACCAATGATTGTTTAGGGTGTGGCCTGTGAATGACATCACTTCTGATGCACTGTTATGTTATGTTTATGTCCATCTTTGGATACAGTCTTTAACCTGTTACTGGGGAATTACAGCTAAGTATAGCCGTTTAGGTTTCAGCAAGAAGAAAAAAGGTTCCCGTGGTCATGTGAGAGCGTGCGCTGCGTTCCGCAAATCATCATGCTAAGCAGTTTAATGTTAATTCTATAATACCAAAAAATAACGTAAGTTATGTCACAGGACTTTACACAGTAAGGTCAAGACATAATATTATGGGAAACCTAGCGAGTCGTGTTTAGAGGCAACACTGTAGTGAAGAAGAAGCCCCAGGTACCTGCACCGAGATGAAACTGAATCATTGAATGCAGTGGTGTCATATAAATGCACAGGGAGTGAAAAGATGGAAGCAAAGGAACTACAAAATTCATCAAAAAGGAAAGTTTGAAGCCTGATCTTAAGAGTGAAGAGGATGTCTCTCCTGAACTGGGAGCAGGTTCCTCAGGAGAGGGCTGAAGGTTTTGGCTGCTGTATTTAGATCATGTGGACTGAGGGATGCTGCTCGGGGTGAGCAGGCAGCCCATGTGACTGCATGTGGGTGGGAGGGTGACAAAGGTTTTTAATCATCTCCAACCCTCTTTTTTTTTACTCATCACTGTAAATAAGCATTGTAAAATAAGAGGGCCGTTTCTGTGCCGTAGTCTTCCTGTCAGGAGCACTTTCCTGTTTTTCAACCCACAAAACCGCCAAATTGTACTCCTGGCATGTCACTTTTCATACAGGGTGGAGCAGTTTGAAATGCTTTGTGTGTGAATGACACATGACAAACTGGTGAAAAAACATCAAAGCAGTCAGACATGCCGAATACAAACACGTGAATTCGTCTCTTCAGCTGAACGGAGCGGATCGGTGCAGTCTAACGTACGTGTTCAAAGTGGCTGAAGTCATGTGGATCAGTGAAGCAGAAAAAATTCCTGGAAAGGCAACACATGAAAGAGTGTTGGGGTGGGGAGTGACATTAAAAACTCAATACTGGTCATACAACTACGTTTTTGTGTCACATGAAAGAACAGAATGAAATGATCTGCAAAACATTTATTGCCAAAGACAAAGTACCAAATGTTAAACTGAGAAATGAGGCTGGTTTTCGAAGAAGAAAAGCTCATTTGGAATTGGATGCCGTGCTGCATTCTTTTAACAAGGTTTGACTGTTAAAGAGACTAACTGGTTTCCTCAGTTCCCAAATAGCTTCCTTTCATTCCTTGGTTTCAGAAAGCTTTAAATGTTTCTGATTCTCTCATTACAGTCCAAACTTTACACCTCATCCCAAAAAGACAAACTAAAATTTTAAATCTTAAAACATTTATACAAGAGTAATGTTTGGATCCTCGGGTGTTTGTCTGGGCCTCGTTGCAGAAATTTAAATATGTTGTTCTGACTTCTCTGCTTCTCTTTGAGAAACTGTCTTCTGATTATGAGGCTGGTCACCCTTTTAGAGGTTTCTGAGATTGAATTCATGCACGGCAAAGAGTCAAAAAAAAAAAAACTGGGATAAACTGAGTGTTTCGAGCAGTCTGCAGCTCACAGGGAATATTGTGCACACACTGACCTCATCATGAGAAACTTTGTCTAATATGAAGCTCCACCGGTGAAACAGGAGATACGTGACAGGAAGTGAGGAGAAGAATACATTCAAACTGCTGCAGATCAGAGCAACGTCTAAATGGCCTCAACAGTGTACAAGTGAACTTTGACCCTGAGATATTTCACTTGAACATCATCAGGCTCCTCAGCAGAGTGCTGACAATCAGATAGAGTCTTCACATTCGGTTCAGAGGCATGCACTGTTTTTACTCTTCTTGTATTCTGTAGATCAAGAGGATCATGTGCCACCAACTCAGAAACCTTCTCTCGCTCAGCAGACAGCTAACAAGCATTCAGATCAAGGCACTGAGTGAACAGGCAGATTTATCCCAGCTGAACATCTCTGAACGCCTGCTGCTCAGCCGGGCTCATGGACATGAGTGTGTAACTAAAGCGAGTTCACATTAACTTCTGCTTTGTGTGAGCCTGCATCACATGACTCCGTTGTCATGACCAGTCAGCATCCAGCACTCAGTCCTGATGAGATGAACACAAAGCAGCGAAAAGCTCCTTCACTCTGACGCCGCGGTGACGCCGGTTAAACCTCCGTCAGACTCCCAGTTTACTCTCCTCTCTGTCGTTCATGTGATTTCTCTGTTCTCACTACGACATCTCACATCAGCCCACAAGACCAGAGCGTAGCCGCCTCCCCGGGACATCTTCTTTGTCAAGCTTTATCCTCACAGGCAGCCCCGAGTCCAGACCAGGTGACTCAGACCGCTCAATGGGAGACGCTGTCTTCAGACTTCTGAGAATTAACTCTTTAAGGTCATTTTTGGGGACTTATGAGAAATATATTTGTATCGCTGTTTGTGTTCAGTTCACTGAACAGATCATTTTTATAGGCTGGAGGTTTTAGTGGTGGGAGTTTCTAATTACTTAGGTCCTGTTAGTCTGGTTCACTAGCTTTTACTCATGGATGGCAGGATGTTAAAATCCTAATCTGCTCAGCTGTGTTGGGTCAAATGCAAATATATTAAGAGATTAAATTAAAGATACAGTCCCTGGTTTTGTTGAAGCGTTCTGCAAATCCTTGAATTTTAAAAAGCCTCAGTTGTTTTTAAAATTCAATTTTCTTTATTTAAATAAAGAGAAAAAATGTAGAAAAACAAGGTCACAAAACAAAGAGATGAAATTTAAAAAAAATAGTTTTTAAATTTCATCCTTGTTGATCCTTCTGCCCAGTCCTGACCTTAGATGCTGTTTAGTACAATGAAAAAAAAAAAAAAAAAAGCTTTAGATGCATCAACAGTTTTATTGTGAATCTTTTTTTCTCTCTTTTGTCTTTTTAAATTCTGCGTTTTCATTTAAATTGATTAAAGTTCCCATTTTTAAAATATAAAAACCCCTGACTTCTAACAAAAGGAATGTTAGTAACTTTTTGTGTCAGCAACCATTTTCAATGATATTTAATTAATCAGTTTTTCTTTCTCCACTTTCACAAACAGTTCAAATCATTTTCTCTCTTTTGTTAAGAAAAATAATAATAATTTTAAAAAAGCCATTTTCTCTCATTTTTTAGTCATAAACATCCACCATAGAAGCCGCAGCGCCACAATTTTTGAGATTTTTTTTTCCTTTGGGTGATGAGATGTAAATGACGTTAACAAAGAACATGACGTTTTTGAAACTAGAATTATGGGTTTTGTCCGAATCCTGTCCGTCTCTGACCTCGCTGACCCCTCCTCACCTTAAATCTGTGGCTTTGAGGCTCCCTGCTGTGATGAGTTAGACCCAGTGCTTTCCACATGACAGCCCCCCCCCATCCCAGAAAAAAAAAAGAAAAACTGCAAATATTCTGATAATTTATCACACAAAAACAGCATTAACATTAAAACATCTATATGCACATTTCAAGTTCTGTTTAGAGCAGGGGCGGATGTGCTTTCGGGGCGGATGTGAAGCAGGGGGGTGGGAGCGGTTTGGTTGTAAGAAAAAAAAAAAAAACTGGAGTAAGAGCGACTGAATGGGAAAGCTTTCTGTTAAGAACCTCCACCCTCCTCAGCGCCTCTAGAGCCTGCGCCTCAGGAACATCTCCCTCCTTTCTGGGAGAGCACCCGAGAGGACACGAAACACCTCAGCCTCTCTAGCCTTCCATCACGTCTTTGTGCTCAAATAACATCGAAAAGAACGAGCCCCAGCAGATGTGAGACCATCACTCTTTACCTTTTGTCGGATTATCAGTTTGAATGAGTTCCGCTTTCTTTGGCTCAACATCAGCATCAACTGAGCACTGCCATCCTCCTCATCATCATCATCATCCTGTTTGTCTTAGTCCTCGTCCTCGTTCTCTGTCTTCATTCATCAAGGTGAGGTTGACATTTTTCACCTGTTTCCTGACAAAATAAAAGCTTGAATTTAAAGCCTGGATGTGCCTCTGTTACACTACAGTGTTGGCCTTTGTTTCAGGGCTTTAAGCCTCATGCCCTAATTCTGCTCTATAAGTAGTGCTGTAGCTTTGTAAAAATCCCCTCAGTCATTCCACTGATTTCTAAATGATGTCTGCTCAATGGATGAAACGTGCTCTTTTATATTTCACAGCTTAGACATTACCTAATACTACAACTGAAAGAAACCACTAGTAACAAACATCCGAGTCAGAGAACCGTGCCGTTACGGCTTCCGGTCCTGCTCAATTTCTAATTGCTGTGAACGAGGGTGGAGAATTTAAGAAAGCAGTTTGTGTTTGCTTTTACATGCAGCCTGCAGGCAAGATGTCACACAGAAGTCTCTTTCTCCTCTCCGAGGCACATCACAAGCATGGGACAAGCAGAACAAATGTAATATGAGGCATAGGAAATGCATCGGAACAATAAGTGGTCCAAGTTTGAACTTTAACGCTGAAACAAATGACTGAACACGAAAAGGCTGAGCCACCTCTTTGATGGAAACATTAAAACTAAGAGGAAATCTGATGTGAGCATCATGAATATTATTTATTCATGTGTAGATGGGAGCATCCATGAGAAACTGGCATCTAGAATGTGTTCATTGACAGCTTTTCCCTTTTATGTCTGTATTAAGTGGGTGAGGGAAGTATATATAACAGCGACAGATGAAGACAGGTTAAAGAAATGTACAATAAATGGCAGTAATTCTGGTTCTACCCGGAAGAAAGAATTTTCCTGGCTGGATTTCTATCTTCTTTTTTTAAAAAAAAAAACAAAAACATTATTATTCCACAAAGAAAATTCCTATAAATGTTAGGTCTGAATCCGGACACTGCTGGAGACAATGTAAACATGTGATGGAGGTCAGCTGACCACCATCACATGTTTTGAAATTTTCCAGCAATCTTATTGGTTAGAGCTGGTAACATAGTTTCAAGTCATACCAGGGTTTGATACTCACTGTAGTTTTGATTCATATTTTAGTAATCTATCAACTGATTTAAACAGTCAACCCAAATATCTTGAATGGCCAAATTACTGATTAAAAATTCCACTCTCGCCCCTGTGGGCAGTCATTTCCCTTCAAGCTCGGGTCCTCTACCAGAGGCCATGAGGGTCCTGCACAGTATCTTAGCTGTTCCTAGGACTGCACTCTTCTGGACAGAGATCTTGGCTTGGATGTTGTTCCCGGGATGTGCTGGAGCTACTCTGCTAGCTTGGGAGTCACTGTACCAACTGCTCCGATTAACACTGGGACCACTGTTACCTTCACCCTCCACTTCTTCTCGAGCTCTTCTCTGAGCCCTTGGTACATCTCAAGTTTCTTGTGTTCCTTCTTCATGATGTTGCTGTTATTCGCTATCGCTACGGCCATCTTCCTCTGCTTGTCCACAGGATCTTAGCTCAGTCATTCTCGACCACCATAAGGGGTGTCTCCCATTTGACCTCAGGATTTCCAGGCCATTTTCAGCACAAATGTATCTGTATACTATATCGGCCACTTGGTTATGGCGTTCCATGTATGCCTTGCCTGCTAGCATCTTGCACCCTGCTGTTATGTGCTGGATTGTCTCAGGGGCATCTTTACACAGCCTGCACTTGGGGTCCTGCCTGTTGTGGCAGACCCCACTCTCTATGGATCTTGCGCTCAGAGCTTGTTCCTGTGCTGCCATGATTATTGCCTCTGTGCTTTCTTTCAGTCCAGCTTTGTCCAGCCACTGGTAGGATTTCTGGATGTCAGCCACATCCCTTATCTGCTGGTGGTACATAACATGCAAGGGCCTGTCTTTCCTCTTCCTCCTCTTTCTTGGGTTTCTGCTGCCTGAGGTATTCACTGAGCACGTGGTCGGTTGGGGCTATCTTCCTAATGTATTTGTGAAAGTTTGTTTTCTCAACCTGGACCATGGTTCTGACACTCACCAGTCCTTGGTCTCTTTTATTTCGCTTAGCATACAGTCTCAGGGTGCTGGAGCTTCCTCGTCTTGATATCAGTGGCTTCTGTCTTCTCCTTTGGCCATCTTATTATCCCAGCAGTGTACCTGGTCACTGCCAGGGCATAGGTGCATAGGTTTCCCATTCACCTCAGGACTTGCCTGACCATCTGTAGGTATTTAGTAGTTGTGGCTTTCCTAATGGCATCTTCATGGCTCCTGTTTGCCTGTGGGGTTCCTAGGTACTTGTACCTGTCCTCAACTTTTGCCTTCTGGTAGTGCAATCCCCTCTGTTCTGACTACCTTCCCTCTCTTTGTTACCATCCGACTGCACTTCTCTAGTCCAAATTTAGAATGAGGAAAAATTGTTACAGGAATGTGAAAATTCATGTAACAATTTCCCTCATTCTAAGTTGTAAAATAAAGGAATGTTCAGAAGAACACCCACAATCAAAAATAATAAAAATGTCGCAGAGATGCACAGACTCCTTTGGCTTTTCCCCCTGAAAAACAAACAACTTAAATGAATATTGAGTTCTGTTATAGAAATATTTGTTGATTCTATGATGCAACTGGTCAATGCAGATCAGTATGAAATAGTGTTTGGGTGGCAGGACTGTGATGTAGTCTTTCCTTGAAAGTGGTGTTATAGCAGGAAAAGTCACATGTGACTTCCTGTAGACTTTGATGTGAGAAATTATCTCCTTAAACTCATGAAGCCTTTGTACGGATGAAGACCGTGTCTGCTGTGTTGTTCTATCATGAAAACCACTGAATGTCCATCATAGAGAATATCAGACTCTGGCATGAAGCAGTTATGAGGATCTCTGCTGGTCCCTTTCACTCACAGAGGAAACTCAGCAATGGAAATGTAATCTTCTGGGTCTGCAAAGCTGCGATGTAATACTTCGTCACATGAATGCAAAGTATAATTTAGAGATTTAACCACAATCACTGCTGGGATTTTATAGCTGCTGTTCAACAACAAAAGCATGGATCACATCACCACTTCTTCATTAAATCAGTGATGACACCAGTGTATTCTCTCTTCACTCTTTAAAACCTTTAAGCACTTTTAGCTCATCGTTTCCTTCAGAAAGTGCATTCTGGGTAAAAATTCAAAGGAGCATATCAACACGTGGGATCGGTGGCTGCTCAGCACGAGTTATTGTGCTGCTTTAATATTGCTTTAAAATTGAGGAGCAATGCTGGTGTTCATGGCCTTCATTATGTTTGGACACATCCCAATTTTAGGCCCTAAAAACATTTTTCAAAGTCCTTGAAGGGCCTGGATCACCACTTATTGTTTCACTGCACTATTTCTAATGTCCAGGAGGGGGCGACTCCTCTGGTTGCAAGAAGAATTAGTCGTCAGTATGCACCCCTCATATCCCCAGAGCACAGTAAACTCTTTCTTGCTGCGTTTATGGTCTCAGTCACAGGTTCCAAACCTTACTGAATAAAACATGGTGTTGATTTTGTGAAATTATGGCCCCATTAGAGCTAAAAATGCACATAAAGCAGGGGATACCTTAGGATTGGCCTAACTTAAGACTGACACTGCATTTTTTACAGTTTCACTGTTGGACAGACTCCACGGTTTTGACACCTGGTTTTAAAAAGCTAAGAAGGCAACAGTGAAAACTCTCTGCTCCAAAAACATCAATGCTGTATCATTATATGTCAATAAACAAAAAGAAGTGCTGTGAGACACCATGAGGAGTTCCTCTTTTATATACACAGTCTGTGAGTGAACAGCAATCGGTGACTTTTTTGTGTAAGTCACAGCATCTTAAAGAAGGATAAAGCCACTGTTTTCCCCCTGCAGCAGTCTCACCATGTATCTGGAGAACAAAACCAGCCTGGAGATTGAAATGTCTCAGACGGCATCCCAAGGCCACCAGGGCAGGAGCAGCCTCAGGTCACCGAAGGCGGTGGCAGGGAACTTCGGGGAACTATGTCTGCTGGAGGGCATCTCGGAGAGGCTAGACACCCAGAAGCTGCAGCAGTCTGCAGGACAATGCGTCATCCACACCGAGGGCTTCGTCCCCATTCGACAAGAGGACGGGTAACTACTGTGTTCTCATGATAATTCATGAATTACATCCACCATTGGAGGGGAAAGATACTGTAGGGCAGGGATGGGCAACTCCAGGTATCAAGGGCCGGTGTCTTGCAGGTTTTTAGAGCTCACCCTGGGTCAACACACCTGAATCAAATGATCAGTTCATTATCAGGCAGCTGGAGAACTTCAAGACATGTTGAGGAGGTAATTTAGCCATTTAAATCAGCTGTGTTGGATCAGGGACACATCTAAAACCTGCAGGACACTGGCTCTTGTGACCTGGAGTTCCCTACCTCTGCTGTAGGGGGTCTAGCTGGGGGTCCTTCCCTAGACTGAAGTTCTAGGTGAGAAAGAGGGAGTGAAAGAAAGCTGCTCAAGGCTTTTTGATTAAAGGTTAAGATAAGTTTTGGAACATGGAGCTTTACAGCACAGAATAATAAGGTATAATTCTACTTGGCCGCAGTTACGGTTCTTTGCAGAATGAATTTAATCCATTTAAATTTGTGTTCTCTCCAATAGTCTTCTGTTTACAACAAGCAAACAATCAAAAGCTGAAACAGGTTTTCAGTTAGAAAAACCAAAAAGATATTTTAGAACAAAAAACAAGAAAAAGACCAGGCGAAGGAAACAAACCAAGAATCCAAAACCAGGGAACATTGAACACACTGAGCACAAACAGAAGGTGACAAGGCCAAAAGGAAAGCCTGTACATGAGACAGGAAGCTTTTGAAACCAGTGAGATATGACCCTGCTTTCTCCCTCAGCTCAAGTGAGTGTTTTGGCATCTTTCAGCTTTCAGTTTTGGATGTGACACATCTTTACTTGGTTCATTCTCATTACTTTCATCAGCTGTTTCTCAGGTTAAGACTGTTTGTTGTGTTTTTAAGCAGAAGCCCTCATTCTCTCTTACTGGATTATCTGAAATAAACACATAACAAGAATTTAAACCACAAATGCAGAAACATATTACACATGCTTTGCTGGCCAAATCCTCTCATGGATGCATGAATATACATGTATAAGGCCTGATTTTCCTCGTGAGCCATGTCCATTCACATGGACAGAGACATACGTGTGTGTGTCGGTGGGTAGCTAAAATAGCCGGGGTGGGGTGGGGTTAATCTCAAACCTGTGGCTGTGGTGTTATTGGGATTAAAGTGAGGTATTTTTCTGCTTCATTAACCAAATTAAAGTTGTAAATGATAAAAAGTGGAACACGGGGCAGGCATGGTAACAGAAACCTAAAGACCAGAACATACAAATACTACACAAAGCAAAAGAACCAAAGCCAGAAATATTAACTACACTTTAGAATATTAAATAAACCAGAATCCAAAGAGTCAAAAAGTCCAAAACCACAACAACAATGGGTCAAAGACTCAGGACCATGACAGTAGGTGCTCAATAAAATAAGTGGTGCTCTCCAGCAGAGGGCAGCTTTCTCTCTGAGCGTGTTGAGGTTTGAACATCTGTCATGTGACAGATCGGGCCACATGACTTAATGGTTACGAAGCTAACTATAGTTAGCTATAGTTTTAGTATTAACAGACATAAGAAGACGATGGTGAGCTGAGCTATTTTTTATTAAATAAAGGACTAATAATAAAAAAACCCAGACAGACTTCTTTTTCCACTACACATACAAATACTACACATACACAAGGTTGTAGGACAACACTCAGGTAGAAACAATGAAGGAATTAGAGGAAATACAAAGATTTCCTGGAGGCAGGAAAATCAACTGACAAAATAAAACAGGAAAAAACAAAAGGGAGACTAAAACAAGGAAATATGACAGACAGTGGGAACATAAAGGGATGCTCATTTAGAGGACAAGTGTTCTGAATTCCTGAAAAATGTGCGCAGTGAAAAAAAAATGTGAAGAGGAACTGTTAACCTGCAAGCTTACTGATGTTTCACATCATAGATAATCCCCTATTTTGAAACATCGTATGACCAAAATTTACAGAAAATATTTAACTCAAGAGGAAAGTGTTTACAGAGGTCAGAGGTCAAAAAGTTATTTTCCCATAAACTTCTACAGGATCAAAATCTGCTCTCACCCCCTAGTGACCTTCTGATAGAATACAGGTTTAAGCCACTTCCAAAGAGAAGGTAAAACAATAGTTTAGACAAAGTTGAAAAAACAGACACTGTTTTTTTGGCTGTTGGTTGTAGGTGTTCCAAATAGACCAAGTCTAAACTGTTTTCAAGTACACCTATTTTTTGCTTAATATCCTTTAAATACTCCGCAGTGAAGGGAAATGTTTCTGCTAAGTCACATCTACTAGACAGGATCAGAGTGGGAATATGGAAAAAAGGGAGGTGAAAACATTTGTAGACATGCAGTAAATCTCTTTATGGATGTATAAAAGTATCAGAGGGATTAATAATGGGGCGGACTTGCCAGATGTAATCTTGTCCTTTATCCACTAAACTTGCCACATTCATTACTTCAAAACACCTTCACAAAACTGTCTGTGAGGAGTTCAATGATGCCCACTAACTCAATAACAACAAATACAGGAGGTATATTTTATAACTGGAGAATTCTCTCTCAGTACAATAGAAATTTAATAGAAATGTCACAAAAAAGACGCCCGACTTCTTGAGCCTTATAATAATACAGTAATCAATGCCCATTACATTGTAAAAAAAATATTGTTATATAAAAGAAAAGAACTTGATTCTGTCACAGACTGGTTTAATCACCTAAAACTTTTGGCAAGCAAAGGTTAAAATACCTGAAGATTAGAGGATTAGCTGTGGGGGACTTTACATTTTCAAAGGTTTACGTCAGTTTGGACACATTATAACAGCCGTCACCTCATAGGTTCCCTGAAACAGTGGATTACAGGTTTTTTTAAAAACTTGACCACTGATGCTGCACTTTCAGCATGTGATAATATGATAGATGAAAACAAATATAGTGTGTATGCGTGGCTGTTGATTATAAGAGGTTACTGGATGCAGCAGCAGGGTGATAAAGCCTTTCAATGGATCATATTTCAGAAACACTTTGTTTGGTTACTTTCTAACCCCTTTTTAAAAAACTAATTGTATTATGTTGCATTTGTAGTTTCAGGAAAAATTTCAGTGCTGTCAACATCCTCAGAGGAAAAACTAACTCAGCCAACCTCACAGAGAGGTCGCCTCTGCTGCGATTCTCTCAAGATGACAGGTGAGTCTTTCCTCAGGCTCTTCATGGGCATATTGCTCTAAACCCTAAGATGCTCAAAATGAAACAAAAATAATAATTACACGTGGGATTAGGTAAAAAAGATAAATAATCAGTTTATTTAGTTGATTCTTATAAAACCTCCACCGTATTTAGCTACTTAGCAATTGTTAGCAAGCAGTTCTTAGCTGTTACAGTGCATGAGGCATAAACTGGATAAAAGTTTATAACAAAACAGGGTCATCCTAATTGTGGAGTCTCGCTGTGTGAGTCCTAGCTGCTGCCAGGCTTTTATTTTAAGCCAGAAGTGATGATATTTGGACAAACAGGCACAGTTCAGTTCAGCTGTCATGTAGAATGAAACTATTTTTAAAGGAATTTTAAGATGGGAGTGTGCGGGCACTGGCTCAGCTTTGGAGCCAGCCTCTAGTGGACAGAACTGGAACTGCAGGTTGTTGGGCTTCATTGACTTTTTAGGTTGATGCTTCATAGTTTATGTACACACACACACACACACACACACACACACACACACACACACACGCAGACGCAGACGCATACAAACATGCAGTGTGAAGCCAGCATTTTCATTTGAGCTTTAAAAAAGTGCAAATTTACTCTGCTAGTTTTGAGCTTGGGTTATCAGTCAGCATCAGAGTGAAGACAATATGATCAGAGTTACTTATGCAGTATTTCTAAGGAGGCTTCTCAGACAACATACAACCAGCCAGCAACTTAATGTATTAGAAATTTCAAGTTTTATGCTACATTGACATGCTCAGTATTTTTAATACTGCAAAAGTTAATATATATTTTTAATACTGAGCAGCTAATTGAGATATTAGAACCTCACTTATAATAATTTTGTTCCATCTACTACTGACCTGTACAACGGTCATATCAGAATCTATCATTTGTGACACTGCTTTCTACAAACAGTTACACAGATGTGGACATGCAGCCCATTTTGTGACAGATGATGTCAGCCAGGAGTCACGATTAACTTTTGCAGATGATATTGTGATCTGTAGTGAGAAAAGGAAGCAGCTGGAAGAGAGCCTGTAGAGGTGGATACTTTGGTGAGAAGAGGATTAAAGTCAGTAGAAGCAAGACAGAATATATGTGTGTGAATGCGAGGGAGACAGGTGTAACAGGAGGGAGGAAGAGAGGAAGACCACAGAGAAGATTAATGGATGTAGTGATGGAGGACATGCAGTGGAGGATGCTGGAATACGGTGAGGTGGAGGCAGATGATCTGCTGTAGCTTCAAGAAAAATAAGCTTTAGTAATCAAAAAACACACTTAAATGACTAATAAGTTTTAAAAAAAATTTATAAACATGTTTTTTGTAATGTCTTATTATATGTTATCTGGAAATTGTCATTGTTAAACTCCAAGGTTTTTACAGAAGCAGTTTTATAATCGGGAATATTTTTCCTTAAAAGGGGACTGTGTGTGTGTGCGTGTGTGTGAGTGAATGTGCATTCATATCATTGTGGGGACCAAAAATTGGAAGTTTCCTATACTTGTGGGGACCAACAAGTGGGGGGACCAAAATCCCGGTCCCGACGAGTTTGAAGGCATTTTTGACACTCAGAATGTCGTTTTAATGACAAGTTACAATTGGGTTATTGTTAGGTTTAGGGTTAGGCATTCATTTTTAATTGCTAGGGTTAAGGCTAAGGGGCTAGGGAAAGCATTATGTCCCCACAAGATATGAATACCCAATATGTGTGTGTGTGTGTGTGTGTGTGTGTGTGTGTGTGTGTGTGTCTTTAATGCCTCATGTTAGGCACAAATACAATGGAACATTAGTGGTTGTATTAAATGAAATGACTCATCCTACAAGTGTGTTGTACTGCCCTTCTTACAGGGTTGTACAACAGACTTATGGGATGATGGAAGAAACATTTTTTAATTTTAGACCTCTGCGATCTGCAGCTGCTGAGTGTTGTGTTTATTTTTTTATATTGAGGTGTAGTGATTGATGAGGGGCTGAGACTGTGATTATTCATTTTCCAGCATAACCTACATGACCCTACATGACCCCAGCTTTGTTGGAGGGGAGGAGCCCTGGAACAACGGCTCCCTGGATGTGGAGAGGCGGTACCGGCTGGGCAGCGAGGTCACGAGCCTGTCGCTATCGCACTCCAGCTCCTCGGAGAAGTACGACCCTCTGGACAACCTCAACCTCAGCTTCAGGTTCACAAGCAATGTGAAGTGAGTCCCAACTTCTTTTTGATCCCTCAGGGTGATGCCATTATTCCTCAGAGAAACAGATAAAAGTGCTTAAGGAAAAGTAGGGCCAGTGGAAAAAGATAATCATTATCATGTTACAGATTAATCTTGAAACCGTTTTATGGGGCCTGAGCCTCTTGGTTTAAAACCAATAGTATCACACCAAGCTCATTCAATTTTACTCACTATCCACTTTTTGGTCTTTCCAGATGCTGCTTCAAAGTCTCCAAAACTGCCACCATCTTTGCATTTGTTGTTCTCTGCAGTGTAAGTATATATGTCCCCGTAGAACAGACACCACCGCATAATAAAATGGAAAGTATAACATGGTAAAAACCTAATTACTACAAAAAAAGCTGTTTGGTATTACTGAAATCACTGAAAGTTAATGATAGCTGGTCAGCTGCTTTCCTCTGTTTTTTAATACTAACCTTAGATAATCACCTCTTGGTCTGTTTACTCTTCACTGGATTAAATCAAATAAAACACCACATTTTAGACCATTTTCATAAAAACTGCATTCACTGAATCTGTGTAGTGCATCTTTGTGGTGGTAGGGTGTGGCTCAGCTATAGGAGGGAGAGGTGTGGCAGGATGACTGGCTGGTAGTGGATGCAGGGGGGAAGCGGAGCTGTCTGCAGAGACAGTGCAGCTCCGGCCATGCAGAGCATCAGAGCTGTTTTCAGTTGTAAACACTGTAAATACAGCACAGTGTGTCGTCACTAAAATTACCTGCTATGATCCTGTTTAAAATATGTTCTTTATAAAATATATCGATGACTTTATTCTGGTTCCAGCTGTTCTTCAGCATGTATCCTGATCGAGACAACCCCTGGAGGATGCTGGCAGTCTCTCCCACAGAGAGTTTCTGTATCCTTTCCAGTGACTTACCGTAGACATGCCCTACTAGTTCTGAGATCACAGCAAAGAGGAGAGGGCTAGAAAATGAAGCAGGGTTGTTTTACATCGAGTATGAGCCATGCTAACACACTCTAGGTGTGGATTTAATGCCCCCGTTCATTTCAAATACACAAAACATTCAGTGTGTCTGGATTTTTCTCTTGACCGCCCACGTCTCACAGCAATGAATGTGACTGATTTTCGGGACAATGCTTTACTGAAGCTACAGGTGGCCGGGCCTTTTGCAGGGGGCATGATAGATTTGACCACTCAGGAGTACATCCTCATTCAGGTAGAGCAGACTGAGCAGCCAGGACAGCGGCGGAGGAGGACTCAGCAGGTGAGAGCAGCCTCGAGCTCCATCTTCCTCGCAGTATTATTACACTAATGAGATTCTGCCTCGTTTATATTGTGCTGTTTGTAAACAGGTGACTCATAATTGGACCATCCCTCTACATGCAGAAAGAAGCGACCAGATAGTGGAAACAAAAACCTTTGAGATGCTCAACAGGTACTCAGAATACTGTGACAGTATATTGATATGACCGCCTCGGTTTTAATGGTCACATGGGCCTAAAAGTAGTTCTGGTTATCACTGGGGTTGTTTATGTGATATACAAAAACAACAAAACCAATAATAATTTTAAAGCTAACCTTTCTGACTTTCAAAGCAGTGTAGTTTGCAAGCTTTCTACCACCTTTACTGTCATATTTCTGACTCCTTGTGTGTGCATTTATCATTTAGAGTGTGTAACATTTATCCCAGTTAGAAGCCACTGGTGTCAGAGACATGCACAATATATCCAGCGAGCAATTCTGGACTGTGCTGGTTCAAGAGAGCAACTCTTTACTCTCTGTTCTGGTTTTTTTTAAAGTCACTTTCTTTGACTTTTTTTTTTTTTTTTTTTGCTTGATAAGCCTGGACATGTTTTCGACTTGATCTACGTTCCTTTGGTCAGGAGCTCTGCAGATACAAATGGCTGAGATGAGTTTCTGGGAGAGTTTGAAGTAGAACTGCTGCTCCTTCACTTTAAAAGGAGCCAGCTTGAGCATCTGATTAGATCCCTCCTGGGTGTCTGAGCTCTGAGGCTTCTGGGGCTCAAACACTGAACAAATCTCTGTAGGATGGCCTTCTTTCATCTTATCAATATCACTGAAATTACAAACATCCTGTCTCAGAGGGATGCTGAAAAAGTATTTCGCGCAGTTGTTACCTCTATGCTGGACTGATGTAATTCTTTATTATCAGCTTTAAGAAGCTCCTTGTGGTTCCTACAGTTTCTAAAAATAGAAATGGAGGCAGAGCCTAGAGGTTTCAGGCCCTTCTTTGGAACCCAGCTTGGATTCAGGAGACAGACATCCTCTCTTCTTTAAGATTAGGCTTAAAACTTTCCTTTTTGAGAAAGGTCATATATTTATGGCTGAACCATCCCTTAGTTTTGCTGCAATAGGCTCAGGCTGGTGGGAGACTTCCCATGATGCACTGAGACCTTTTTCACTGCTGCGCCTTGTCGTCATTGACTTCTCTCTTCTGCAGCTCGAGTTTTGTGCTGTTTGTGGTCCCTCTTTTCCTCTTCTATTCCCCCTCACTCCCCCCAGTTATGGCAGATGGCTGCACCTCTCTGGGCCTGGTTCTGCTGGAGGTCTCTTCCTGTTGAAAGGGAATTCTGCATAGCGTGTTGTCCTTTTGTCTCTTTATAAAGACTTTACTGAATGTGATGTACTATAATGATTGGTGTTGTGAATTAGTCCCACAGAAATAAATGTAAATGAAAAACAATTAATTGAATAAAATGTGTTTGATAGGTGGCATTGATTTTGAAAGCGCTATGATACCCACCGAAAAGGAGCAAATTAAACAATATAACTTGACTTAAGGTGTTTCTGGTGTTTTGTCTTTGCTGATAGATTTCTGACAGACGGTCGTAATTCCAGCAAAAGCAATGAAAGATGATCATTCCCACCATTCTTGTTGCCATTTCATTTCTTGCACAGTGATCCCATCGCCATCACAATTCAGGCGTTCCTGCAGGATAACGAGGTGGTGCCGCTATCCATGACCCACCAGCCGCTTTACGTCAGCGTGGAGACACAGGTGGCCATCGCTGGAATCATCCTAGCTGGGGTCTATGTTCTCATCATCTTTGAGGTAAATAGCCTGTGGTGCTCACGCTCTTCTACGGGTGATGAACGAGCTTGTTTTCGGTGTCTGTGGAAGAGTTTGAAATGTGAAACGCACAGTTCAGCGCGGCCCGCGAACAACAACGACACACTCACACAAGAACACTGGACCGCATGTGTGATATTATGCTACGAGCACAAAGTAAACAGAAGTATGCTCATTGAGTCAGAATGAGGACCGGGAAACTGAATCTCCAGAGCTGCGTTTAGTTCAGACATCATTTTTTAATCCGAGAATTAAAAACATTTCACTGTCAGAGAAAAAGAAGATTTATAAAAGATTTATAAAATTGATTATGGCTGAATTCCATTCAGCTGCTCCACTTTCAGGCTCCTGGTATTGTTCATGCTGGCTCACTGTCACACTCCTATGGCCTGCAGGGACACTTGAAATAGAGCAGAGCAATCGTTAACGGTATAAGCAGCACCTGTGCTTTTCCTACTCTGCCAAGTCATGGAAAAAAAAAGAGCCTCACCGGTATCTCATTGCCACACAGGTGTTTTTATTTCGCCTGATTAGACTTCTTCTGCCAGTGAGCATGTGCAGTCTGTGCCTCAGCGGCAGCGCCGCCCCACTTGTGTTAACTTTATTAGATTCGATGCACCTGTCAGAGCGGGACAATTGACTAAACTTTGCCCTCCTCAGTTAATGGTGCTGAAGTGTGTCTATGATTGCACATAGTACTGGACTGGGATCTGGCAACACTGAATGATGACCGCTCCCAACACAATTAAATCAGACAGATGACAGCAGCCAAACAGAAATGGGGAGCTATGTTATTAGTTTAAAAAAAAAAGCTACTTCTGTGTCATTACTATAAAATGACTGTGTTCCTCATATTATATGTTGTATTTTCCAATAAGAATTCACTTAACTAAAAGATGAGCTCTGTTGACATGGGTCTGTGGACACTACAGACTGTGCTGAACTTAAAGTCATTTATTGATTGATTGCAAAACAGAGCCCAATGAGGAAAACCTGATAACATACTGAGGAGAATCACTAGACCAAGGAGAACAGATGCTCTGACAAAGGGGGAGGCAGCAACTGTAAATTTACACACAGTATGGCAGTAGAGGAAGTGGAAACAGGTGGGGAGAACGAGAGACAGCTGAACTAAATCACAGAAGAGGAGACAAAAGCAAAGCACAAGGAACGCTGAAGCTCAAAATAAAGCAGGAAGTGAAATAAGCTCATAGAGCTCCCCCTAAAGGTCAAGGGCTATACTAAAACGTTGATGTTTTACAATGTTTATATCGCAGCATGCTAACATGCAACCTTTGACCTATGAGCTTTAAGCATTACATAATAAAGGCATATATATTTTATTATCTTTACCCATATGATTGGAATTGGCTGAAATCTTCAGCTGTTAAAACGTGACATTTTCAGATATCCAGTGTGTGATTTTGCAATATTTTGTAGTCATTGTGACATCAAAGGGCATTGGATTGAAAAAACAAAGTGGTGGTTTCTTGAATTTTTTTCCAAGGTTAACTTTGACCTTGGGTGCTAATAATGACGGTCAAATGCTCGTACTGAATTTCAAATTTGGTGTGACCTTGACCTGATTTTTGCCAAAATTAAATCAGCTCAAGCTGTTATTGATATCTACCATCACACAAAATTTGAGCAGGATATCTTGGAAACTGTAGACCATAGACTGCTAACAAACAAACAAACAGAACAGATTGCATGCTTCCCTCCTTCAGCGGGAGAGTGAACATTAGACTTGACACAGATGCATTAAACTCTAAAACAAGAGCGGATTAAATGCACTAAGTGGAAAAATACATAAAACAATACAAACACTTAGAAAACCAAGAGTATTTAGATAAACAAAACTCCCAAAACACTGTAAATTGACTCAAGACCTTGATATGATATGACCAGCAGTGCATCATGTCTTGTTTTGGTTGAGCTTTTTAACATCCACGCAAGCAAGTCTTTTTGCAACCAGAGCACTTGCCCCCTGCTGGACACTAAGAAGAATGCATGTTTCAGGCAGCAGTCAGATACTTTTCTGATCTGCATCATCAATGGATGATTAATATATGACTTATATAATCAGATGAGTATCAATCTCTGAAACCGCTATCACTTTGAGGAGGTTCTTGGTTTGTGGCTTTAGATATGAGTTTTACTTCCACTCAGCGTTTGCTTGTTTAAATCAGACGGACTCCTCTGTCTGAGAGCATGTGAACTCACTAAACTGTACCGACGGGGTCGCTGGGACATGAAAGTCAAGCGCAGGCCTTGAGAGATGACAGCGCAGTTTTACTCTGCACGCTCGCTCATGCGTCGCTTGTGTAACTGACAGATCCTCTCACAGAAGCTGTAATTCAAAGACAGAGGGATCGTCTCAGAAAGAGATGAGCATGCAGTGCACGAGCGCTCAGACATCAGGATGCTGTCAGGTCTCCATTTGCTAATGTCTCACTCCTCCACAGAGTTATGCTTTTAGTCTCTAGTCTGATAACTTGACGCAGCCTCCGAATGAGTGAGTGCATATGCAGTCTCTCACATTTAGGGTATTCTGAATGCTGAGCTCAAACAAAGGGATTTGTCAGTGTTGGTAATTGGGCACCAGTTTGTGATTTTTTTTTTTAAATGGGCATTTCAGTGAAATGTTCCAAAAGATCTGAAGTAAAGAACTGTGATGTAATTTTTATTTTGTCAGTTTTGAGACAGGCTGAGGCTGAAGAAAGTTTCGCTGCTTTTGTTCCACTTTACTCATTATTTAAGCAGAAGTATTAAGACAAATAGATTATAAATGTCTACAGAGCGTCTGAGCTATTATTCATTGTGAGTGACAAGACCCAGTTTAGTGCTGAGCAGTTCACAAAGGTCGGTAATGCATTAAAGACACTGCGACTGTGATGCTGTTGTTTTTAACTGACAGCAGAATCTTATTTTTACCAATAAAAATAGATTCAGATCTGTCAATAAAAACATGGTAACTAAAGGAAATAAAATAGACTAGAGAAAGCCTCTTACGCAGTGCAAGAAACACACAGAGTGGCATAAAATGTTGTAAAAATGTTAAGCACATTTAAATTCACATTAATTTATGCAATTAAAGCTTAAAAATCAAGAGTAATTCAGATGTCAAAATGTCTTTTTTGACTTTTAAAAACATTCGTTCATTTCTTTTTGTGCCTGGAGTCAAATGTTGATGGTTTTGCAACACGAATGCACTTTTACTGTGTCAGTAAAATATTTCTGATTTACTCTAAAAAAAAGCAGCGTTTTCATCGTTAAACAGTTTGCTTTCTATATTCACTACATACACAGTAGTTGTTCTACATAATAAATAATTCACACAAATGTTACTGTTAAATCCCAAAATAACAAGCGTCTCTCCTTTGAACACAACATGAAATGTTAAAGGATCATCTGTGCTCATCACGCACTCATTTTAAGATGCATTATATTTTTGCGTGTGTGGTGATGAGCGCCTCTGAATAGCACTGTGGACTTTGATAGTTCACCCAAGATGAAAATGACAGAACATTATAGATCTTATGGATCACGAGACTCTCTTGACTCCTCGTCCCAGTCGCTGCAGCTGTCATTCACGCAGGTGCTTTCTCTTATATATAATAGTCCTCAGAATAATATCAGTAATGCTAGCAGCAGAAAACCTCACAGAAGACCTCCTCTGTAACAATAAATCAAACAGAACACACAAGAATAACAGATGTAAATAATTATCAGTGTTTGCCTGCCTATTTGTGATTGTTTGGAGCGCTAATACTGTTTTCTGCCCTTTTCCCTCAAATAAACAATTAAAATGAAGAAGTATTTTATTTACCAACAAAACAGACTAATTTGTATTTAAAATGTCCTAAAAAAACAGTGTTTTTTTTCACATTAGGATTATTATTTTCATTAGTCAAAGCCACAGGAGGATGGTGATGCAGACGGACAAAAGAGCCAGGCACGTGACTCCTACTGTATAACAATAAACGTTTTCAAGAAATGCCTGCAGAATTTTTTTTTCAAACCATTCCTTCCTCCAGAGATGCCTCACAGATCAGTCGAGAGATGACTGAGACGGCATCAGAACGAACAGGAATGTTTCACTGCTTAAAAATATTTACAGAGTTAATGTGAAGGTGAGTGCTCGTTTGTTTAGTAGTGAGTGTGGTAAATGTTTTGTCCTTTCAGATTGTGCACCGCACCCTGGCTGCCATGCTGGGATCTTTGGCAGCCTTAGCTGCTCTGTCTATCATCGGGAATGTAAGTCTCTCTCGTTATTTGATTTTACTGATTTTTTAGGGATGCAGTGGTACATTCAGAACATATTATGAACGCTTTAACATATGATTCATGTATTTGAGTTATGGTTGAACAGTTATTCAGGCGTGTAAGCAAACTGGTTGTAAGTTTTGTGCCACACAATACAGACAAAACCGGTGGAAACTGCAGGATTAATTTCTGAAATGTCATGATTAATTTCAAAGTTTGTCATTCATTAACATCTATGTGTTTCCAAATTTAGTCACTGGCCCAAGTTTGAGAGTAGTGGACATTTTCACCTCAGCGGGACGCTTTGGGAACAGAGCAGTCATTCGTGGTCCTAGTTCCACCTGTGCTTTTGTCTGCTTCGGCAAATGAAGCAGGAACTGGGCCAGCGAGGAGTTATAGCAGCGTTCAGACACAGTCGTACCCAAAAGTTTAACGCTGTTAACGAGTCTGATCATCATTTATTAACCTTGTCCTTTTGTTTTTTCCCCTTCAGATCCAGAAATTCTTGATAAATCTATGTAATTACATTCTTTGTCTCGCCCACAGAGACCCAGCCTTGTTACAGTGGTGGAGTGGATCGACTATGAGACGCTGGCTCTTCTGTTTGGCATGGTGATTAACTCCTCACATGTTCACTGACTCAACAAATCTCAGAGCATTAAAAAAAGAGCTCTCTGACTCTCTCAACTTCACTCTGCGCCCTTTCTATCAGTCTTCTGAATGTCTGACAGCGAAATACATTTCTATGGAGGCGAGTGAAACGAACAACAAAGAAAATCCAGTCTCCATGGAAACAAACATGTCCTAAATATGTCAGTTTTGGTATAAAATTATGAAGAGGGAGTTTGAGACATTTCTGGAATCCATTTAAAAGCAGTTTGAAATCCTCGAGCTTACCTGTAAAAACATTTTTGAACTCATCGCGATGATAACAAGGAAGGTAATAAAGAGACAAGGGTATTAATGAACCCTAGAACTCAGGCACATATTTCATTCTGACCATCTCATCCAAGATAAATCTCACAGGGAGACATAATCTTACTTAAAGGAAAATTCTTCTTTTCAACAACACAGATGGTGCTGGTGGCCATTTTCTCAGAGACTGGCTTCTTCGATTACTGTGCAGTGAAGGTAAGTTGATTTATGATAATAATAATGATAATATTAATAATTGATGTTGATGAGAAAATTAGAAAAAGTCTGAATGAGAAAGCTTCTCTCTAAAGAGAAGATGGCAGCAGGGTTAAGGTTTGCAAAGCTGAATCTGAACAAACCTCACGACTTCTGGAACAATGTTCTTTGAACAGAGGAGACCAAAGTGGAGAAGTTTGTCCACAATGTGCAGCAGCATGTTTGGAGAAAACCAAACAGCGCATACCAACTGTCAGCACGGTGGTGGAGGGGTAATGATTTGGGCACCCTGCAGTCATTGAATTAATCGTGGACCTCTTTGTAAACCAAAGTATTCTAAAGTCAAATAAGAGGCCATCTCTGTACTACAGCTAAAGCTTGGCCCAAACCAAGTCATGAAACAGGACATTGATCTCAAGCACAGGAGCAAACGTACAACAGAATGGACCCCGATCTGAAAGAAATGAGCTTTGCATGAATATCCACAATCCTCAATGATCTGAAGCGATGCTGCAAAGAAAAACGGGCCAAAAGAGATTGATGAAGTCACATTTACCTCAGGTTATTGCTGCTGGTTCCACAAGCTGATGACAACTCTCTTTGTCACATGACTGTAAGTAAGAACACAAAGGCCCACATACAGCATCGAATTGATTTTAAATTTCTGTTTACTTTCAATCACGTGGGATCCTGTTCAACCTACTTAAATTTGGAAGGTGACAAGTTTTTGTCGATACAAAATATTTCTTGTTTTTTTTGCATAAGATAATTTTAGCACAAGATGATAACTTCTGATGAATGTCTTGTGTGCGCTAGATTAAAAAAAAATAACCTCAAGATATTTAAGGGGCTGTAGGATGCTGAGCGGAAGTGTATGAAATAAGCTGCCCGCTTGTGAGATGTCTCGACAGGCTTTGAGCTATTTCTGAAATTAGCAGCAACACACGACACGACTGTAGTTTTGATTTTGACTTATCCAATGTCACAAAGGTTCACAAAGGAGGACCTTTCCAACGTCAGACAACCTATCAAGTTTGCAAATCTATCTTTACATCCTGACCTAAAAATACAGTAACAGCAGTAAAGGCTGACAAGGATGACATTCGTTGTGTTTCGAGGTGAAGTTCAGAAAACGAAATCTTCAAAATAATCAGATTTTATGGGTTTTTTTCCGGGAAGAAGCGCTCTTTAACTGCAACTGTAAAAAAAAAAAAAAGCGCTACAGTTTCACAGTCCTATCTGTCCTCCATATGACAGAGGAATACACATTCTCAAATTATTCTCTTGCTCTACTATTGAAGATAACACATCCGTCTTCTCTTTTCAAAGAAGGTCAAAGTCTCCCATCAGAAAAACAGCAAACTTTTATACCGAATGTGCCCTGTACATGGTGAACGAGGACGAGCGCTTTTGTGCGTCAGGTACAGCGAGTCCTGGAAAACAGTGAGATCATGCAAGCATGTAAATTTTAAGTGCGACCTGGAGAAGAAGCAGCCACGCCAAATTCAAATGTATTCTCAGAGAAGAGCTCAGCAGCTCTCACACATCACACCGTTACCTTTGAAAGGTGGCCATCCTGACCTGGTGATGTAAGAGTGCTGTTTTAAAGTGGGAATCCATGTGCAGTTCTTTATGAATCTTAATGATATTATATCTTGTGCTACTATGGAAAGATTTACATATTTTTAGATTTTTTAAACACACCAAAGAACAGTCAGAACTGGTCCGAAGCTGTGCCGGATGTGTTTTCTGAGTCAGCTGTTTTGGCGGTGCCGATAATAAACAACCTAACCTCATCTCTCCATTATCTGTCTCCACTCGGCAGGCTTACCAGTTAGCCAGAGGAAGAGTGTGGCCCATGATCATCATCCTCTGTCTCATTGCTGCCATTTTATCTGCTTTTCTGGACAACGTGACCACTATGATGCTTTTTACTCCCGTCACCATAAGGTGCCTTTTTTTAAGTTCTCAGGTGGAATACATTTCACCCACACACACACACACACATACTGCTGTCCACTTGGTTTGAGTGTGGCTGTCCTGCACAAAAGGTTAAAGGATCAATACCAACATCCTTTTCATATTTCTCTATTTACCCCACCCTTTGTAATCTAATCATGACTAAAGGGTTTTTCTGTCTGTCTGATTTTGCAGGTTGTGTGAGGTGCTTAATCTAGACCCCAGACATGTCCTGATTGCAGAAGTAATCTTCACCAACATTGGAGGGGCCGCCACAGCTGTCGGAGATCCGCCCAATGTGATTATAGTATCAAATCAGGACCTGCGCAGAGAAGTAGGCACCTTCACAGCTCGAATATACAGTAATCATCTAGCAAAGCAAAGACATTACTGATGTGTACAACACTGACAGGTAGATTTACTTGTTAGTACTGGCTGAAAAAAGGATTGAGGCTAAACATCTTGCAGGTGTTTGGTAAAAGTTTACACGATGCATATCACACTGGCTTGTGAACTCCTAATTTCAAATCTCACATTTTGCGTTTTTGGCTTCTTAGAGCCTGAAGTAACCATACTTAGCTTAGCCTCCCTGTCGTGTTCGGATCAAATCTGACTTAAAACACTCAGAAATATTGTGTTTTACATCTGATTGCCTCAAGGCATCATGACATCCTCCACACTATGCACTTGAACATTGACGATCACCACAGGAAATGAATGAGAATCTACTCAACCTCCTCCATAAACTTAACGACCCCGTGAATGGCCCACTCAGTGACCAAATGAAAGACCCATTGAATGACCTACTGAATGACCCACTGAACTGAATTTGGGGGGGACCACAACTGGAGGGCTATGGGGTAGAAAGTTAAGTTATAAGCTCATGATTAAAAATGATGATTAATAATGGTTAAAAAATAATGACAAACCTTTTCTTTTATCATTATCAGTTTTTTAAAATTTTATTGAACAGCTGTTCTTTTTCCTTTATTTAAATCTGTTTTTCAAACCGGACCTTGTGAGGATTTCAGTCAGCAGGTAAAGTCTCTGCACGGAGGAGGAAAAGCGTCTGTGTTACAGCATGAACAGACTGAATACTGAGGTTTTATTAACAGGCTTTGAGAATGTTTGCTAAATTCAGTCATGATATTTAACTTGGTATTAGACTGTACAATAATTCAGTCTGAAGGGACAGAATTATTATTTTTTAATTGAACGTAACTTCGATCTACAGGAGATGATAATGAAAATAATATTTTTCAGTTGTGTACAGTTAGTGTTTCCTTAAAGGTTGCGTGTTTTTTAAGCCTTCATATTTCCTCATACAAACTGAGGAATTAACAGCCTGATGCTGCATTTCCAGCACGCACACGCATGTACACTGTACATATAGACTTTTTCCTGTCCTGTGAGCAAATGTAATCATCTGTGTTTGCAGGGTTGTACATCTGCAATCTTTGTTTAGCGCAATCTGTCCATGTATTTATACAGTCGTGAGTGGTGACCCTTGTTTACGTTGATGTGTAGGTGATGAATGGAGATGTAGTGGCAATGAATCCAATTTATATTTTTGCAGCAGCTATCATAAATCACAAGAATTAAAGATGTCAAGATGTCGGTGGGAAAAGAAGCTGCTACCTCCTCTTATTTCAGTGCAGCTGACCAGCGTTACAGGTTGATTTTATTTCTGTTCCTGGTCAAAGGTTTGCATTTACACATGTACAGTGTTTGTGTGAAAGTCCATACAGCCATTTTGCCTTATTTTCTTACATGTAATCATTTGCAGCAGCTGTGACAGCTGTGTAGCATAACACCTTCTATTCGTTCACCTTCCTGTGACGTTTGTAGCAGTATAAGCTTACAGTGTGTTGGTAAAGCCATCTACATGTGATGTGACCCCAGCTTTGGGGTTAGTCTCTGATTAAACCTGTGAGGAAGACTGCCACTCCTGATGCAATAATGTGTGAAACCATGTAACACCCAGCTTTTTTCCAGTGGTGGATGATGTGTTATAAAAGTGTTTTCAATCATCCCATCTCTGCTAATGTGTCAGGATATGCAGGATCTGCAGTCAACGGAAAACATTTTTAGTATCGGAAGCTTTCTGGTTTGCAGCCCTCTTTCAGTTTGAGTTCAACTAAATCATTTTAGTGGATAAAGTTCAGAATGAACAGCAGGATATCTGCTGGCTGCACCAGAAACTCCTCAAAAGTGGCTGTTACACTCTGCTTAGCCTCTGAGAGATCCACGGAGAGCCGGCTCCCTTCCTGTTAATCAAAATGAACCAGCAGTATTTGCAATGAGTCAGGCCTCAATGAATCAGAGTGCTTCTATTAAGTAGCCCACATTTTATTTTAGTTTTCAGAAATATAGCATATTGAATCGGTATTGATGATTGCTGTTTTTTGTTACAATGAAGCTGATTTTGCTAATGAAATGCCAGCATCCTGCTTACGTATCCTGATCGGTGTAGTGAGGTTTTATGACAGGATGTTAGGAGTGTGGTTAAAGCAAAGCAGAAACCTCCATGTGTGTGGAAGTAGCAGCCTGTAGTGATGGACACCTGCGCCATGTAGCTGTTGATAGAAAACTCTCTGCTCCTTCCTGTTTTGTGAATGTTGTAACGTGGCTTGTGGTTGGATTATGTCTCTCATACATACAGAAACACTATTTCCTACTACATTCCCTACTATAGCACATAACTACTTTCTCCTTCTGCTTCCTCTGGATGCTCCCTTTAGGGGTGGATCATTAGCCTCCATCTCATCCTAGCCCTCTGTCACACCAACCCTGCATGTCCTACTTCCTCCTTCATTCATAAATCTTCTCTGTAGTCTTCGTTTTACCGTGTCCCTCCTTTGCACATGTTACACCAGGGGTGGGCAATTCCAGGCCCCGAGGGCCAGTGTCCTGCAGGTTTTAGATCTCACCTTGGGTCGGCACACACTGGTTTGTTACCAGGCCTCTGGAGAACTTCAGGACATGTTGAGGAGCTAATTTAGCCATTTAAATCAGCTGTGTTGGATCAAGGACACATCTAAAACCTGCAGGGACACCGGCCCTCGAGGCCTGGAGTTGCCCACTCCTGTGTTA